CAAAAAACAAAACATGCATTTGAAACGAAACGGGAAAATAAACATTTAAAGAGATGTAAAAATGACCTCCCCTTCTGCCTGTTCCGTTATAATTAGATTTTAAACTCTGTCTGTTTCAAACGCTCCTCATGGTGGCCCTTTTTAAATACAAACCTGAGACACTTTCTACGGGAAGTCATTTTATTTCAGAAATGTAAGATATATATTTACATTTTTAATCTATTTTTTAAATCTATTTTTTATTTTATTATTATTATTTTATTTTAAAACGCTTCTTCTTTGTTAAAGGGCTATAGTAACAAATAAATAAATCATTAATAAGTTATCATGAATCAGTGTAAATATTGCATTTGAAAATAATTATTTTATTTAAAAAAATTTTCTGAATGAACCTGCAGCTCCTCTAATCTTAATAATATTTACCATTATTTTCCTCCCTTTGAACTCCAGGATGATACAGGACCTCCCGACCTCCTGACCAGCTCCACTGCAACAGAAATACAAAATTAAATAACAAAAAAAGATATATATATTATGTGCGTTTTGGTTTCTGAGGGAAGCTGGTTAAAAATAAACGCATTAATAAATATAATCTTACAGAGGACGGATGAGGAGCTGGTCACTCTCCTCAGCCGGAACTATCAGGTCTACTTTTCGTTTCGTAGCCATAATATTTAATTTAGCAGGTTAAATATGTGGAATTATAAAAATAAAATCGTTCATTCTACTGTCTGTATGAAGGAGACGGTGGCGGATGGTCCGTGTGGAAACAGCAACTGTTGCATAAACGTTCCGGATAAATATTGTTTTCGTATTTTTTATTAGTAAATTAAGTTAAGCTGGTTAAAAATGATTATTTTGGTGCATAAATAACGTGCTGGGTGAGACTGTAATCATTTTAATGTTTTTGTATTTTTCTTTATTTTTTTTAACCTTGTGGTCGGCTGCGGCCCCTTTAAGGCGCGTTGGGTGTCGGCTCAAAGAGAAACCGGAGAAACAAGAAGAAGGAAACTCTGCAAAGCAAACTTTTAAAGTTTGGCGGTTCGGACAGGTGAGGCGGTTCTGACCCGGTCCAGGTGAAATGATCTGTTTGTCTCTGTTGCTGTGAGGAAGTCAGAAACAGGAAGGTGTTTCTGTGGGATCAGTTTCCGTGTTACAGCAGAGAGCCGCGGCTCTGGTTCTGGTTCTGGTCCTGGTCCTGGTCCAGGTCGCTCTCAGTCTTCTGGTTAATATTGATGTTCCTCTGCTGGTGACACATGTTGCATTCAGGTGTTTAGATAATATCAGATTCCAGGCTTCTGTTAAAACCGTCAGAGCTGCAGACTGAGGGAGAAGAAGGAAATATTGATCTATTTTATGGTTCTCTATTTAAAAGCCTTAGATGAACATCCAGATACCAACTTGTCTCCAGGATTTACTCAGAGAAACGACCCAAAAGACGACCCACAGAAAGTCTGTGGCTTTAGGCCTGAACTTTGACTAGGCCATGAATAGACTTTGATCTGAATGTGTGGGGTTGGTGTCCTCAGCTTTTAGTAGTGATGGTGAGATGGAGCCTCATGAGGCATTTAAACCNATGGTGAGATGGAGCCTCATGAGGCATTTAAACCAACCTTCCTTCCTTCCTTCCTTCCTTCCTTCCTTCCTTCCTTCCTTCCTTCCTTCCTTCCTTCCATCCATCCATCCATCCATCCATCCATCCATCCATCCTGCCTTCCTTCCTTCCTTCCTTCCTTCCTTCCATCCATCCATCCATCCATCCATCCATCCATCCATCCATCCATCCATCCATCCATCCATCCATCCATCCATCCATTCTAACTCCCTCACTTTCTTCCATCCATCCATCCTTCCTTACTAACTCCCTCCCATCCATCCTCTTCCTTCCTTCCTTCCTTCCTCTTATCCGGGGTCCGGTCATGGGGGTGTCCTGGGTCTTCCCCTGGGCCTCCTCCCGGAGGGACGTGCCTGGAACACCTCACCAGGGAGGCGTCCAGGAGGCATCCTAACCAGATGCCCAAGCCACCTCAACTGGCTCCTCTCGATGTGGAGGAGCAGCGGCTCTACTCTGAGTCCTCCCCTGATGACTGAGCTCCTCCCCCTATCTCTAAGGGGGAGCCCAGACACACTATGGAGAAAACTCATTTCAGCCACTTGGATCCGGGAACTCATTCTTTCGGTCATGACCCAAAGCTCCTGACCATAGATGAGGGTAGGAACGTAGATCGACCAGTAAATCGAGAGCTTTGCTTTTTGTACTGGTCTCTGAACCACCACAGACCAGTACAGTGCACGCCTCACAGCAGACGCCGCACCATTCCACCTATCGATCTCCCGCTCCATCTTCATCTTCCATCCATGGTCTGGGATTTGGAGGCACTGATCCTCATCCCGGCTGCTTCACACTCTGCTGGGAACCGCTCCAGTTAACGGTTTGGGCTTATTGCTTCAACGATCCCCGCAGTTCATGAAGCTTCATGTGAACATGTCACCACCTACTGGTGGAGTGCAGAACTACAGTTAGTAAAATAATCTGTGATTTTTTTCCCCATTTAAAGGGGAATGTCGTTTTTTTTTTTTGTTTTTTTTTTACATTGGACCCTTGATTTTACGTTATTCCATCATGCTCTACTCACCCATATGAGTTTTGTGTCATTTGGAGCCGTTCTGAAGATATTCCGTTATATCCAGTAGCGTCTTCCTATGGGCAATGACTTGAAGGCACTAACTAAACTGTTCATCATTTATTCTTTATGGTACGCCAGCATTCATAACATGTAGGCCAATCACTGTCCCCCAGACATCCGCCGTTATATTTGTTATATTTATCTCTTTCAAAAACAAAGTGGCGCTGGTATGACATCATCCGCGCGCGCCGGCTACCGTTCATTCTTCCTGTCCGCTGAACTGCTGCTAGTTTTCCTCACATGCCTGGAAGATGTCTACTGCTGCTACCACATGATCTCACTCTCTTCTAGAAGGGGTAGAGCGTAGCCGCCTGTGGCCCGGGCTGCCTGTCGCAACTCCAGTCTGGCGCGTGGATGACGTCACCAGCGGTTTGCTCAGATTTTGATCATTACATTGTTTAATCTAATCAAACTAGTTTTAACCAACTAGATTGGTTGGAAATACAACCAATCTATTCTTAAAATCTATCCAAACTTTATCCAACTGACAGGAACTCTTCTACAAACTCCAACATCTTGACTGAATACTGAGGCTGTTTAAATGCCTGCTGAAGCTCCGGGCGAGCTGAACCACTTCCTGAAGCATCACATGGTACGGCGGGGTAGCGAGGTTTCAGATGTTAGCTATTTTGGCTCCTCCCCCAAATGAAGCAAGCCTCGATATGCGCCTCGCGACAACGCCCCCTCCAGTACTCTACGCACACCTTGAGGCCTCGGCTCATCTCGTAACATCACTAGTTTTTAGCCCTTAAACAGAAAAAAAAAGGAAATATATATATATATATTTTTTTTTTTTAAATAATCAAGTCACAGACTCTGCATCACACTGATAAGACCAAACATATTTGCACCGTATACATTTGTCTTGAAATTCTCTGAAATTCCTGATCAATATGTTTGGCACCATGTTTTTTTTCTACCACATTGTTTATATTTTAATCACTGCTGCACTTTACAGAATGGAAATGTTCATTTCACTGCTAAGCTACTGATCAGTCACTGCTCCCTGGGCACCACACAATGGCAGCCCACTGCTTCCCAAAGGGGATGGGTTAAATGCAGAGAGTGAATTTCCTCATTTGTGAAACAATAAAGGGATTTACATTTATATTTCTGAATGGAAAATTAATAAAATTTGGAAACTGTTATCCCAGCTGTGGCGAGGGGTGCTGGTCCCTATCTCCAGCTGTCAGTGGGCGAGAGGCGGGTTCCACCCTGGACAGGTCTCCAGTCCATCGCAGGGAAACACAGAGACACGCAACCATTCACACTCACACCTAAGGAGAATTTAGAGAAGCTAATTAACCTAGCAGTCATGTTTTTGGACTGTGGGAGGAAGCCAGAGTACCCGGAGAGAACCCACGCATGCTCAGGGAAAACATGCAGAAAGACCCGGAGCCGGGAATCAAACCCAGAACCTGAGCAGCCCATTGGAAATTTAGAAAATAAAAACAAAAAAAATATCACTTAAAAATGGCTGAATAGTTAAATTTTTGAAACATTTTTTGCTTATATTAATACAGGAACACATTGCTCTCCATATTTCAGAAAGCATTATTATCAATCTTCTCAAACCAACTTTTTTGTCGCCTCAGTCTGAATTTTGCCCCCCCCCCCCCCCCTAATCTGCCATTTAATCTGATCCAGGTCAGCGGGCCTGAGGCTCCGGATGCGGTCGTCATGGTGAAGGATGTTTCGGAAAGTCAAGAAACGACACAGCAGCAGCAGCT